TTATTTATTTATTTAATTTTTTTTAATGAATCACCTTGAGATACAGTTACAGACTTACAAAATTTCATGATTACATTTGTCATCAATGATTGAGTACACATCCCTCCACCAGTGCCCATTCTCCACCACCAATGTTCCCACTATCCATCCCACCACCCACACTCGATTCCTCCCCACCTCTGTGGCAGGCACTTTCCCTTTTACTCTCTATCTCCTTTTGGGTGTTATGGTTTGCAATACAGGTAGTAAGTGGCCATGAAAATAGTCTATTTTTATAATGATTTATAAAAGACCCCTATTAAAGTGGCACAAACTCCTACTACCATCATAAGACAGTGAAAAGCCCTAGATTTCATTTCCCAGGTCAAACAACTAGAACACTGGGAAGAACAGATGAAACTTTTCAGACATTGGCCAACAGCAGTGTAGGACCTTGATCCCTAAGAAAGGGGAGACCAATGGAGTGAGCCCAAATTCTGCTGGGCTTTTTGCCTAGGCAATCTCCAGCCAGCAGGAGCAAAATGGGTGATTAATTAGCACCTTAATGTGGTTCAGGCCTGACCAGCACCAGCCAGCTGGGACAGCACAGAGAGATAGAGGGAAGTTGGGACAAAGTCACTGAGTCTGGGAAGTGTTTGTCTCTCTAACTGGAAAAATTTAGTTTTACTGAATTTTGTATTGTTTAAATTGTACTTTATTTAAATTTTTCTTTAGCTAGCATGATGTATTCCTTTCACAAGGGAAAAACTTACTGGAAAACTTATAATTCAATTCCTAAGACCTAAATTTGACATGGCAAATGATAATGTTATTTTTTCATTCAACTCTAATAGTCTAAAAACAAAGTTTTTATCAACAAAGTTTCAGAATTAAAATCTCATCTGATGAAAAACGTTTAAGCTTCCATGTTAAAATAAAATCAGTAACTTCTTTACAGCAATACTGTTTTGTCTGTATCAAGGTGGATCAAAGTGTCACTCTAATAATATAAACAGTTAATTGTTAAAATTCGCAGTCATTTTATCTAATTATATATCATAATTTTAAGCAGATCTTTGTATGTATGGTACATAAAATTATTTTTTAAATTTTAATACACTTGAAATTAAAATCAGCTTAATGAACCTTAACTGGAATGAATATAAAAGTATTTATATTAGGTTTTTAGAAAACGAAGGGGTCATCAGGGTCATCGTATAAATTCTTCCATTCTATTGTGACCTCCTTATCGTTCCTCCTTTTATACAAACCCAATCATTATCATTTAATGATCCTAATTAGTGCTTACAAAATGCAGTCTGAATAATACATGAGACATCAGCATTCTGATGGTTAGCTGCAGCTTAACTGGGATTTTAAAATGAATGTCAATGTCCCCTTCATTTTATTGTTTTACCCATTGTTTGAAAACATTGGGGAGGAGAAAGACATTCACTATCTTCAAAATCAGCAAATGTGAGTGACTGGAATGTTCAGAGTCTATCCCTAGGACAGCAGAGAGACCCCTGGAATGTTCAGAGACAATCCCTGGAATAGCAGAGACCCACTGGGTGTGGAAATGGGGTATCACTGCCAGGCAAGTTGAACTTCTCTGATAGCAGTTTAAATTCTTTAGTTAGCTACTTTTTAAAAATTAACCATTTGTCTTTTATCCAAAAACAAGATCTGCGAGTATCACATGATATTTGTATGATTAAATTTGAAAATGCCACTTTGACATATGACAAACAGAATAATGCAGATCATGTTTTTCAAATTATAATGTGAATTGTTTTTAGGAGCTGACTAGTCCCAAGATGCCCACAGTTTGACTAGGGAACAAGACATTCACAAATGCACATCTCGAGAATAATTCCAAAGTACTAAACAAATGATGGTCTGTAGTCCGGGACAAGTCAACAGTCATCCTGGGCAATAACTTGACATCCGATCAGAATGAAGAGGGACCCAGGAAAACATCCCTCATCAGATAACCTGATGAGGAGGGACCACATGTGCTTTTCCCCCAAGCAGCAAGTTTCAATTTCTTGTCAACCTGCAAACATATTTCAGTAGATGAACCATCCTCTAGTGGAAAGCAGGGTGACGGAACCCCCTTGAAAACAGTAGGGGGAGCTGATTTTGAAGATAGTGAATGTCTGCCCTCCTCTGTCACTGGCTGCTCATGCTTTTCCATGTGACTCCACTGGCTTGGTGTCCTCTACACGGCTCCAGGGAGCTGCTCCAGTTCAGCTGTGCAGGGTGCAGTGTCCTGCCATCAGCCCCACCCATGGCCACAGTCCCACCCTCACCGATGTGCTGAGGAGGAGATAATAGGGTAGATCTTCCCTCTCAGTGGCATAACATCTCAAGGTGGCTTCTTTTATTAAATCTGGGAGACTCATCTACACAATGGAATACTATGCAGTTGATAGGAAAGATGGAGTCATGAAATTTTCTTATAAGTGGATGGTCATGAAAGATTTCATGCTAAGTGAAGTGAGTCAGAAAGAGAGGGACAGATATAGAAGGACTGCACTCATTTGTGGAATATAAAATAACATAATATGAGACTGACACCCAAGGGCAATAGACACAACGGTCAGGAAGATTGCTCCACAGTTGGAAGCCTACCTAACGAGCTGGAGGAGAAGACAGCTGAAATAGAGAAGGGACCACAGAGTCACTGATGATTGGAGGGATTGCTCAGAATGGGAGATGTGTGCTGAAAGTAGATAAAGGTCCAAATGTGAATGTCTCTCAGTATCTGTATTGCAAACCATAATGCCCCAAAGTAGAGAGAGAGAGTATGGGGGAAATTTCTGTCATAGAAGCGGGGGAAGAGTGGAATGGAGGGAGGGATACTGGGGATATTTGTGATGGAAAATGTGCACTGGTAGAGGGACGGGTGTTCGATCATTGTATGACAGAAACTCAGACATGAAAGCTTTGTGACTTCTCATGGTGATTCAATAATAAATAAATAAAGCTGGGAGTCTCATTGACTTTGTGTGATTTTCTAAAAAGGTTTTGTGAATTAGATTCATCTGTTTGGAAAATGATATTGATAATCTGGTTTTGCAATGTTGGCAAGGATTGTGCTGAGAAAGGAACCCTCTCTCTTCAACTGCTGGAAATGTCCGAGTCTTCCTCTATGGAAAACCGGGGATTCCTCAACAACTTTAGTTCCAATGCCCTTGGCCATGTGTTGCTCCCTTCCTATGTTTCTTTGTATCCCACATAGTAGGGGGAGCATTGTTCTTTTTACTGGCTAGTATAAACACTCTATCCACTCTATCCTTTGTTGAGGAATCCCCAGTTTTCCATAGAGGAAGACTCGGGCAAAGACTGTCAGTGTGGCTTCCTCTCTCTCAGTAGCTGCCTGGATTAAATGGTCTACACCACATGGCACACCTGGGCTTTCTCCTCAGAACTCAAACCCTTCACTTCTGACCCCTTTTACCCACCAGAGTACAGGCATATGAAATAGACATGCAAAGCAAACATTTACTCATAATAAATCACAAAAAAAATTTAATTTAAAACAAAAATTTAAACGTCAAGAGATTAAGATTATCACCCCCCACATGCAGTTAGGCACCTCCCCTCCCCCCCCACCCCCCCACCCCCGCTCCCTGTGTCCCTGTGTGTTCCAGGCACAGTTTAAGAAGTTGGGTTGAATCTTAGTTCCAGAGAAACAACCCCTGGGTGGAGCCAGTTTCCAAACAGTCTGGATGGCGAGAGAGTGAAACGACATGAGGGTGTGTTCAGTAAGGGCCTATGCAATGCCAAGTGCCCAGGTAGGAGTTAGGTTAGCACCCCGATTTCCATTTTCAATCCATTTCCCCCATATTTTTATTACTCAACTACCCCACCTCAAAAAACATAACCATAATGTACACACACACACACACACACACACACACACACACACACACACAGAAGCCTTTTTACCAATAAACTCCACGTTTTAATGGCTGAGAAACTAGGTATTCAACTTAGTTTCATATATTCTTCTTCCCCTTCTAAACCCGGACTGAGATTACCTGTACAAAGCATTAGACAGGCAGAGAACGCTGGAGGGAGGGAAAGCTCTCACTCTGCACAGGAAGGAAAGCTCTTGCTCTGCACTGCCTGCCCAGGGCCCAGCCTCAGCACCATGCAGGGGTCACCACCATCTAGATTATTACTAGGACCAATCGCTGCCCTCTGACGTTTATCACCAAGGTCAATGGAAAATACAACCCAACAGGGACTCTCCTCACAGAGCATAGGCACACACATTTCATATACAGAAGTCAATCCTGTAAGAATTTTTCTTTTCCTATTATCCAAGGAAACGCATGTTACCATGGTAGGTGCCAAAGACATTTGGCTCTGAAAGTGGAAATTTGAAGGCAATTGCGAAATGAGGTAAGAAATTCCAGGGCCAGAAGGTGGACGCGAGCCATCAAGCGCTTCTCCAGCTTGGTCTTGGGCGCAAGCCACACGTACAAACAAGGCCCTCAGCCAGCTGCAGCGCCTCTACAGAGTGACCCATCCCTTCTTAGGGGGGGGGGGGGGCGTCTCCTTTGCAGGACGGATGCCCCCAGCCCCTTGGCAGGGTGTATGCCCCCAGCCCCTTGGCAGGATGGATGCGTGCCCCAGCTCGTGCCCAGGTTTCAAGCGCTCCTGGGGCCGGGAAAGAGGGTCTGTGCGGTGAGACCCTGGGCGGGCAGGCCAAGAGCTTCCCCCGTTAGGTGCGGCCGCCCCGGGAAGCCCACGGGATCGCGCGCCTTTATTGGGAGGCGGGAACAGTTTCTCTGTAGCCTCGCAGCACTCTGGAACCCGAGCCCAGAGGACAGTGGACACTGGCGGGGACACCAGCAAGCGCCAGGCCTTGCGAGCCCCGGGCGGGCAGAGAAGCGGCGGTCCAGCGGGTCGGGTCGGGGCGGGGGCGGGTGGACGTGACCCGCGTTCCCGGGTCGCCTAGCAACCGCCTAGCAACCGCCTCCCGAGGGACTGTCCACGCCGCCCAGGCCCGAAGCTCCCCACCCGAGCGGGCAGGACCCATGGAGGGAGAGGACGAGCAGCAGTAAGTGCTGGACCCCGTGTCTCTCCGGGCTCGCCCCGAGCCCTGCCCCCCCCGCACCCCGAGCCCACCGTGTCCCTGCCCGCACCCACCCGAGCCCGACCCAGGTCCACGGCGCCCATATGCGCCCACTTCAGTGCCCGCACCCGTGCCCATCCGTATCCCGCACCCCATCCCCACCCGCCCGCACCCACACCTGTGCCCACACCCACTGGCCGGGTCACTCCCCCAGACCAGGTCACTCCCACAGGGCTGATCCTCCCTCGCCACCCTGTTCCCCTGAAACCTTACCCACGGCCTGGAGCACTGCCCGATCCTCAAACACCCGCTGGACTCCATCCCTCCTGCTCTTCCTCAGCTGCCCATTTCTGGTCCAGCCCCGCCCTGTGTAAAAAGGCCACCCAGGGCCTTTCACACCCTTCTCCCCAGCCCCTACCACTCCCTTCCCACCCCCCATCACCCCCCTTCCTGCCCCCAGCCCCTATCACCTGCCTTCCTGCCCCTATCACCCCCTTCCCGCCTCCCCCACCACTCTTCCTGACCCCAACCCTTTATCACCCCCCTTCCCGCCCTCCCAACCCCTATCACCACCCTTCTCATTCTTCCTACCGAGGAAGTTGGTCAGGAGGTTTTGGGGGAGAGCTAGAAACAACTCCTTCAAGATGCGTGGGAAGGAAGGACGATGGTGTCCTTACAAGCCAGCGGCAGAGCTGGGATCTGGCTCAGTTCTGACGGTTCTGAGCCCAGTAGTGCTGTAAGAGAGTTGTACAGAATCATGCTCGGTGCTTAAATGCCAGTCTAGGGCCACTCACAACACAAGGACTCACAGGTGTGCAAAGAGGCACAGGTGTGCGAAGAGGCACTTCCTTCCTTCCTTTCTTCTCTTTCTTTTTCTTTAGGGGGGAGGGGGCACACCCAGTGGTGCTCAGGGGCTTACTCCTGCTCTGGGCTCAGGGATCACTCGGCAGAGCTTGGGGGACCCTCTGGGGTGCTGAGGATGGAAGCCGGGTGGCTGCATGCAAGGCAGGCCCTGGACTCACGCAGGCCCTCTGCAATCTTTGCTTTCAAGTAAGTACAAGTTGATCCAGTATGAAGCAGGAAAAAAAACAACAACAACAAACAGATGCCTGAAGGCTACAAAGAAAAATCAATTATGGCCTTTAAATACTTACCTGGAAAAGAGAAAAAAGCCTTAGAAGTTATTAATGTTTTAGCAGCAACCTTTTTCCAAATCCTTGCAAAAAAAAAAAACCAATTTTTGTTGGGATATAGGGAATATGAGTCCAAGGGTATGAATATTGTGTTTTGGAGTAAGAGTTGGGGATATATGGGGCCTTTTAGTTAAAACAAACTCAAAAAATGTGTCAGATTTACAAAAAGAATAAATATTATTGTAAGTGCCTACAGTGAACAGGTTTTGTGCCTGGAGGTTGGGTACATACATTACCATGAATGAAATTGTATTTTCCTTTTATGAATTTATTCGTAGTAAAAGGTATTTATAGCACCCATCCAGAAGGCAGGAGGAGCTAGACATATAAATTAGAAATTGTACTCATACTCAGTTTAACGAAAATCATGGACAAAGTATAAAGGAGTACCTGGGGGAGGGGGCAGAACCCTGAAAAGCCCTGGGAGGAGCTAGCTTTGAAACTGAGAGCTATATAGGGAGGGCACTGAGCAGGAAATTGGGCACAGACCTGGAAGAGGCTGAGAGGGCTTCCAAGCAAAAGTCCAGGGGTGACCAAGAAGATGATCCAGGAGCAGCGAGAAGGCATACTGACTCGAGTAATGAAACTTGAGTGTGCGAGCAGGGTCCCACACAGTCATAGAGCTGAGGAGGATGCAATTTATTATATCTGAATGCTGAGCCATTGGGGGTTCTAGCTGAAAAATGACAACAGAGGAGATGGACCTCACTGGTTGTTTCCCCCGCAGTGCTAGGGACTATTCCTGGCTCAGAGAGCACTCGAAGGTGGAGGGTTGAGGGAAGACTATGGGGGTGCTGGGGGTTGAACCCAGGTTGACCAGGTGCAACGTTAGCACCTTGCACACAACTCGCACTCTTGCTCATGACGTCACTGGTTTGAAGTAGAGTAAGAGTTGTATTTTAAGGACCAAGGCTAAACAGAAGTAATCACTTTCTCTAGAAACTTCTAATGAATGACATTCTCTAATCTTCCATGACTCAGGATTTTGATTTTAAATGATTCTGTGGTAAAAAGTATTCAAATTCTTCAAACACATGAAATTTTAAAACACCACATTTTTAATAGAGTGCCTTATTTAAAAGGACAAAAAACCTATAAATTATTTCCTTATAAACATGCTTCACTAAAATAATTTCCAATTTTATATTAGGGTAGTTTTTAGAGGCAAAATCTTTTGATATTGAGTCAATTGTCCTGATTGTCTGCTCAGGGATCTTCTTTTTTATTTTAAAGATAAATAATAGGGACCAGAGAGATAGAAGAGCATGTAACAGCCTTGCACGCAACTGATCTGGGTTCTGTGCCCAGCAGGCCATGTGGTCCCCTGAGCACCATCAAGAGGGATCTCTGAACTCAAAGCCAGGAGGGAGCCCTGAGCATCACCAGGTTGTTCCCCAAAACAAAACAGAAAGATAAATAATGATAAATGAATAATAAAGACAAATACCAAAGATCATTTGTTAAATATTATAAATTTGCCAGATGAATTTTCAAAACTAGCTGGTCCAAATAACTGAATTTGTTGAGGAACTTTTAACGTAGATGAGTTAAAATCAGCGTGTTATTATGCCACATGCATAAAAGTTACAAACGAGGAACTTCTGAGATGGTGAGAAGAGCAGAAGCATGTGCTCTCTCTGTGGAACTCCCCTCCCACCAGCCACAGTTCCTCCTTGGCACTACAGAGCCTAGAGAGCACCCTGGATGGATCCTTGGGGCTCCCGTCACCCCTGCTGAGCAGCACTGCAGACATATCATGAATGCCAGAATTAACCACATGGCTTAGCTCTGATGTTCAGACTCACACAGCTGGAACAGCCAAGTGTCAACTGGAAGTGATCCATGGGCCCAGTGAGCACTATTTGGGAGGCACCCACAGATCCCCCCCCCCATTTTTCTTTTTATAAGAATTTACAGACAAGGTTGTAAGCATAATCAAATTACTGCTCTCTCTTTACCAGCACTACTCTTTATACAGTTACTTTACTGGTATATATTTTTTTAAATTTATTTATTTATTGAATCACTGTGGGAAAAGTTACAAAGCTTTCAGGTTTAGGTCTCAGTCATGCAAATATCAAACACATTTCCCTTTACCAATACTTATTTTTCACCACAAAGAGCCCCAATAAACTCCCACCCCCCAACCCTCCCAATGTCTGTAAGGCAGATGAATTCTAGTTAACACACTATCTACTTTGACTAGATTCATTGTTTCGATAAAAGATGCACCATTATTATTTAGAGTTTACACCCCCAAATCAGACATGCTAAAAAGGCATTGTGAAATTATTTGCTTTCTACAGCTGGGTTAAAGAGTTAAATGATGTCGTGCGGCCGCTATTGTGGCCGTGTGGTTTTGGATTTCTGCTATTTCACTTATTAACCCTGGAAGTATTTCTGTTGAGAGTCAGATAATTAAGAGATTGGTTTCTGTGCTCTGGAGCCATGGCCGTGCCGGAGAGCCGCTCGTGGGGGGCAACTGGTGACCTCGGTAGGGCGTGAAGGATGAACCAGAAACTCCCCCCTTCCCATGAGGTTTTAGTCGCCCCATCACGACCAGCTCATACCTGGCTTTCCACAAAGCTCCCAAGCGGCTGCCATCTTTCTTTCCAGAGGGAAGAAGGCGGTTTACTGGTATATTATTGTGACTAATCAGTATTAACACAAATCCCTTTATCTTATGAATAACAACTTTTCAATTTTTATAATAGTATAAACCTCATAACTGTTAAAACCTCGTAAAACTTAAATTGTTTTGACTAATCATGATGTATCTAAAATTTATATAATTGATATGACTCATTACTGAAATACTCATTGGGATAAATGATTTACTATTAAATTATGTTTTTAGACAACATAAAATAGAAGATCCTGCTACAACTGGGGAAAAAGAAGAAATAAAACATGAAAAAGAATCTGAAAAGAACATACAAAATTCAAAATCTTGTGCTAGGAGAGCACGTATACATTATGCTAAGTTCATTAACACAAATGCGAGGACAATCAATGAACCAGTTCCCTACATGGATCCTAAAATGGGTACAGAAAAGCAGGTTAGACAGATGTTCATTATATACAAATAGAGATTTAGAAGTATTTTGCAGGATTATTTGATTACAGACTAGTTAAAGGATGTGACATACCTCAGATTAGTATTTTTAATAGTCCAATAGTTTAAAGAAATAATTGGGAACTATTCTTGCAGATAAATTCGCATATATGTGCATATACATATATTTATAAATGATCTAAATAATATTATTTTTGAGATTGGGTCAGATTATAACCACTCCATAATGGTTGGGGCTTACTGAAAAATTCTTCAATATTTTATATTTCAATATATTCTAGTGTAACAATTTCCCAGGCTACTCAGTAATTCATACATTGTAGAATAGTAGCTGCCATTTATTCAAAGTTTGGAGCTGGAGAAATAGTACAAAAGAATATGCTAGATATTTTCTAAATTTTAGACAAAGTATGTTCTTTGTCCTGCCCCCAAATTGTAGGAGGTATTACTGGAAAATGTAACAATAACATAGTCCAAAAAAAAGTAGATTTACCTTCAATTATATAATAAATGTTTCTGGCCCAGGGTTTAGCCAAAGCAAGCTTTTGTTCAGTGTCTTAAATGTGTATTTAATACTTAATGTGTATTATTTTTAAAATACACTTAAACCTGTATTTTTAAAGGTGCATTGAGATATGTTTTATGTATTAGTTCCCTTTTGTTGAAGCCAGCAATTACCAACATTTAAGAATGGCTTAATTGAGCACAGAAGTCCCTAGCAAGGGGTAGGGCTGGTTCCTCCAGAGGATTTAAGGGCGAATGCTTTTCCTTCCTTCTTCAGCTTTTACAGACCACCTACATTCTTCAGTCGGGCCCTTCCCTCTTAGAAGTACAGAACAGCATCGTTAAACCTCTGAGGACTCCTCCTAAAGATTACTTTGGACCCACTCAGACAATCTGGGATAAAGTCTCTTTCCCAAAACCCTTCATTTAAACCCCATTGCAAAATCCCTTTTGTGCTGTCAATTAGGTGTAATGTATTAGGTATCGTTGTGAGTTAAATAGGTTGCATTTTAGAGAGCTCTCTTTACACCAATATCATCAGCTGCTCCTGTTTTGAAATTAAGTGTTGTGTAAAAGTGAGATCTTGAGGCAGAAATTCCTGGAGCCAAATAAGCTTTCAGATCATTTATTAAACTATACAATGATTTTTTAAGGCTCTTTTACAAACAGTTTGGAATTTAAAAGAAATTATAAGCTAGGACTTTACCGAGGATATAAATATGGTGCAGCAATTCAGGTGAGTGAAATTTCCACATTTCTTACAAAACTTAGTGCCTCTCCTGTTGTGTAGTTTATACTGAATTTAAACCCAACTGTTAATTGAACTCATTCTTGCCTTAGAGAGAGTAAGGAAAAAATTGATTCAAGAACAGAAAGAAATGTGAAAAATTGGGGGCCCAGAGAGATAGAACAGTAGGTAAGGCTCTTGCCTTGCATGCAGCCAATCCAGGTTCTATTCCCGGCTCCCCCATCTGACCCCAGAGTCGTTCAGGAGTGCAGAGCCAGGACTAAGCCCTGAGTACCTTCTGTTATTGCTATGAAAGCAACAAAAATCATAAACAAAGAGAGTCAGAGAACTCCTGTGAGTACAAAAGAGGAACAGCAGTGCAGTAGAGGTCTGTGTTGGTGACAGAAACTCATGGAGTTGGAGACCATTAGGGGATGATAAGAGTGAATTTGATTGGAAGGGAAGTGGCTAGGTAGAGAGTAGGGATGAATGAGGAGTCCCAAAGATTCCCTGAAGGTTCATCTCATCGTATGTGTCCTTGTGGTGTATTTTAAAAGCACATTGATTTGGGCATGGAGTAAAAAGAATGTGGGCTGAAAAAACAAAAGTAACTGAGAAGTCTTAAATGTAATCATTTCTCAAGAACAGGGCCAGAGCAATACCACAGTTGGGTAGGGCACTTGCCTTTCCCCTGGCCGACCTGAATTCGATCCAGGTTTCGCAGATGGTCCCCCGAACTCTCCAGGAGTGATCTGTGAACACAGAGCCAGGAGTAAGCCCTGCGCACCTCCAGTTGTGGTCCAAAACCAAACCGAACAAAAAAGCAAAAAAAAAAAAAAAAAAAAAAAAAAAAGGAAAGGAATGGATTTCCACGTACCCAAGGAGTAATAAAGTTATTCTCAGATAACAGATTTTTGTGGGATACTCTAGGTAGCTTGCTGAGCTCTCTGAGAGGGACAGAGGAATAGAACTAGGGTTAGCCGTGTACAAGGCAAACGCCCTACCCGCTGTGCTATCACTCCCGCTGACTTAAAAAGGAAAAACCTAAATTGTTTAAATATTTAAATTGGCATGTCTTTTTTATGTGTTTTGCTAAAATATCTTTAGAACACAGATTGGTTTTGTTTGTTTACAAAATGAGATATAATTCTACTTAGGGACATAGAATTAGAGGTGCTAGAAATAGTAAGAAGAGGTTGTAAGATGGTCATTTTCATTAGAAAATAGTTTGTCTTGTATTTTAAAATATTTATATTTTAAGAAATATCATACTAGATCAGTATTTTCCAAAGTGTATTTTCCAATCTTCGCTAGTTTTTTGCATAGACACTCAAACTATGCCTTTCTCAGAGCTCCACAAGTCATACTACAATACAGTTCAAGAAATCCCTAAACTTGCATAATCTTGCTAACCTTGCCTTAATCTTGCTACTTCTGAAATATATTTACATATGAAGCTCTCTTTTATACCTATTAATATGCTGCAGAACTCGAGTTGTACAGAATACAATTTAGGACTCATTAAGGGCACTATAAATTGCTTAAAAAGAGGTGTTTTTCAACACTCCTGATTTCCAAGAGAATGAACTCTTAGAGTCAATGTAACTCTAGTGTTTGTGATAACGTTTCAGTTTTTTAACACTGTTATCCTTATTGATAATAAGGTCTTGTGGCTTACAATAATGCTGATATAATTGCTTACACACTCCCCCAACTAGAGTGTCAGTCCGTGCTAACTAGAGTGTCAGTCCCGTGGTACCTTCTCACTGTAGCCACACATGTACACACATCACATCTCCCCTTGAATCTTCAGCTTTTCACTTTTCAAACTACTGAGCTCTCCTGATCAAACATGACTGTCTCAGAAGGAGGTTATCAAAGTCCACATATCCCAGGAATCGCAGAAATGTCGCCTGTGACCTACAGATCACCGCCATCACCAACAGTCATCTTGGTCGTGCCACTGGGGCTGCTGCTCTGGACCCCACGTCCCACCTCTTGCGGTCTCTTATACAGTTTCTCCAGAATACCCCACTTCCCACTTGCTCTTATTACTCCATCACCCAAGGATTGCCCCTGAATTGTCCCCCCCCAAATGGAAAGGTATGTTTACTAATATATTTCTTGAGGTTTGTCAAAGTATAGTACAGAGACTGCCTCAAGAGGTTTTCACGCTAAGGGGTCATAATGCACCTGCCTTTACAAGTAACCCCTGTGCTCTGAAGGCTCAGGACTGTGGGTGATTATCAGGAGTCTTCAGGCACTTCCTCAACCAGAGAACCCCAGTGACTTTCATCCTGGGGTAGAGAAGGAGACAGGCTTTGGACTAAAAGGAAAGAGTTCCTCTTCTCTCTGGGTCCAAAGTTTGGAACTGGGAATCATCACTAGGCAAAATCACCTCCACAGTCTAAGATGTAATTTGAGCTTCGAATTCTAAATAAAGAAGTACCCTTAGGGGGCTGGAGCGATAGCACAGCGGGCAGGGCATTGCCTTGCACGCAGCCAACATGGCCAACACAGGTTTGATTCCCAGCATCCCATATGGTCCCCCGAGCACCGCCAGGAGTGATTCCTGAGTGCATGAGCCAGGAGTAACCCGTAAGCATCGCCGGGTGTGACCCAAAAAGAAAAAAAAAGGAAGTACCCTTAGAGGACTTTCCAGTTTGACTTATTTCATCATAAATGACTTTGTGTTAATCCCTCATAATCTAATATGTTAGTACACAGAGTGGAAAACTTTCAGTTTTTTGCCTGAGCATGAGATGAAGCAAAAAGTAATCCTCCAAGAGCTGGAGCGATAGCACAGTGGGTAGGGCATTTGCCTTGCAAGTGGTCAACATGGGTTTGATTCCCAGCATCCCATATGGTCCCCTGAGCACTGCCAGGAGTAATTCCTGAGTGCAGAGCCAGGAGTAACCCCTGTGCATTGCCAGGTGTGACCCAAAAAAGCAAAAAAAAAAAAGTAAGCCTCCATCCATCCCTGTACTCTTATAATCAATCCGTTGGAACAAGTGCTTGGATCAAACATAACATGTGTATGTATAAGGACTCATGCGTACTCGCTCTTCCATGCGCAAACTGACCTTAGCCCCCAAACCAGAAAAAAAAAAACCTCATTTGAACTGTCGGGTCCATTCTTCTGCAGCAAAGATTTATCAATCTGTAGCACTCATGAGAATGCTCTCAGCAATTATGGATTTTTAAGTTATAATTTAGCACTGTAGCACTGTCTCCCATTGTTCATCAACTTGCTTGGGCGGGCACCAGTAATGTCTCCATTGTGAGACTTATTGTTACTGTTTTTGGCATATTGAATACATCATGGGTAGCTTGCCAGGCATTGCCGTACAGGCAAGATATTCTTGGTAGCTTGCCAGGCTCTCCGAGAGGGGCACAGGAATCGAACCCAGGTCAGCCGTGTGCATGGCAAACACCCTACCCACTGTGCTACCACTCCAGCCCAAGTTATAATTTAGGAAAAATTATTTACTATTTCCTTTATATTTGTGAAACTAAAAAAAACTATTGTAAAATTTCAAATTAAAAAAAATGTCTTCTCAATGGACATAGAGAGAACACATTTTTCCTAGTATGTTGGAGACCAGGATTCAAACCACAGAACCAAATGGTCCCTGAGACCACTGGGAGTGATCCCCAAGTGTTGAGCTGGGCATAACCATCCCTGGAGTATCCCTGGGTCTGGCCCAACCACAATCACCATCGCAAAACAGATTTCTTAAAGATGAATCGCT